ATTTCTCCAGTAACTTAGTCCCATATACTTGGGCTGAATCCTAAAGCAATGAGAGAAATTCTGCTTAATATTTCTTTTGAAAAGATATGCCGCATGACCTCTAGAAGCTTTGAGTTTCTTCAATCTATTTTTTATATTAACTATTATCAGAGGAAGAAAGAATAATACTTGGAGTTACTTAGAGTCCAGATATAAAACTAGGAGGAAATTAATTACTACCTTTACGCATTAGTGTAAACTTGGAACTTCCCTTTCTTATGTGACAATATCTGCTCCACCAAAAAAGACAGGTCATATTACTGTACTAATTTTCATTACGTTTTACTAGAAAGAAGTGTCCCCTAGTGCATCTTACCACAAATACTTGCAAATGTCATTTTAGTAATTGAGTAGCGCCACCAAAGACAAGCCCTTAGATTGAGATATTAAGCTTTTCAATAAAAGATAGTAATGAAAAATTATTCTAATTTATACATGCGGGTCAGGGATCAATATTCTAGTAATTATTAATAAACCGAATTTTGCAAGCCTAATCTAAACTGTGGGTTAGCTAAATCCAGGCTTTTATCATAGAGTTGTTTCCAGATTTCCTTTGCTATCAGAATGAGCTTTGAACTGAAGATCCAATAATCGGTGTTTGAAATTCTGAAAGAATTATTTTCAAAGAACCCTGAGAATATTTCCTTATGGATATTGAAGAGAGTTGAAGGCTATATATTTCATTTTGGAATCTAAGCTTGTTTATTCTTGAATGGCCAGACTATTTTTCATTTCTGCTTTCACAGTGTTCCAAATTAAGATTTTGGTTTGTATCCTGTATCTCTTGGCCACCTCTTCCCCATGTATAAGACCTAGATTTCAGTCTGTATTCCCTATATTTTAATTGTTCATATGTATTAATTGTTCTGAATAAAGAACTCAGAATGTAAGAGTTATTTCTGAGTACCTTTGGGGAGAGAGGGCAGATTATAAATAACGTATTATTATTATTATTATTATTATTATTATTATTATTATTCCTTCACCTTTCAGTCCAGTTTCATAGTGATGTTTGTCTATATGTTCATGGGGTACCTAAACAGTAAACTGAGAGAATATTTTCCCCATTCCTCTTGCAGAAGAACTAAAAGGCACTAAAATGTTGAACCATTATCCAGACACAAAAGCTAGCAGCATAGCCTATCACTGCGAGGTGAATATGGAAGACATTAAACAAACAATATTGTATGTATTTAGTGGAATCGGAATGTATATAGTATTAAGAAGAGGCAAAGGGGAAGAAAAGTTGTAAATTTATGATGTTTTTAAAGGAGTGGTTAGTGTTTTTCCTACACTGACCATATGAGTTTTAAGTTAGATGATACAAAATACTGTATTCCTGGACATCTTTATGAGATCTTCTCTCAAGAGGGAGGAGACACAGACTTGTTTTTATGTGGATTTCAATTTTATATGATCAATGGAGAGTTCAGTAAAAACAAAAAAAAACCCTTTTAAAGACACCTTCTGATCTTAAAGATTAACAACATCCATATATCAAAAAAGTATCCAAATAACTGTGGCCATTTCTATGTAGTTGTACAAAGTATATTGGGTAGCGTATTTGTTTTAGTGTGATTCTCCTCTTCTGTAATATAACAGTGATTCCCATATAAATGTAGACATGGGGAAAAGACCTCTGACGCTAGTGTAATACAACAAAGTAAGACCAAAGTAAGATGCTGCCTAGATGAAGAAATTGCTCAACAGTGTTTAACACCAGAAAGTCTATGATGAGAGAAAGGGTACAGATTGAATCTGAAATACTTGGGCCAAAAGCGGTTTGGATTTGTAAACATCTGTATTTTTGTATACATACAGAAAGAGATATCTTGGTGATAGGACCCAAATCTAGATTTGAAATTTATTTATGCTTCATAATCACCTGGAAGGTAATTACACAATATTTTTACATAATTTTGAACATGAAAAAGTTTGTATACATTGACAGCCGATGGCGTCGACCTCAAAAATGTAGAAGAATACATCTACCTTGAAAGGTTGTAAACATCAAATAATGAACTAAAGCCAGAGTTGAACAGATGCAGGAAAGCAGGATGTGCCGCTTGCAATTCTGCTTAATCCGCTACAGACTCAATTGGAAGTACATTTCTACGAGCTCAATTGATTGACTTGAATGTTCTAGCTGCCCTATGCTGTGGTGCAGAGACATGGACAATGACGAAGGCTCTCTCACACATGCCTGCCTTGAATGCCTCTCTGAACACAGAGAGAACACGGACTGCACAATGAGGATGTTCAAAAAATATCAAATGTGAAAGATCCTCTACGCCAGGTTGCCCAACTCAAACATTGCTTTGCAGGCCACATGATGCACAGAACAGATGGGTGCTGGAGCAATGCCAGGGCTACATGGTACCCGAGAGGATGGATGGGACTTCTTGGTTGTCCTCCCACTTGATGGTCTGATTCATTCCATAAGGCATATAATGTGAGAGTCGAACATGGTCATACAATGGTATAATGGTCAACTCGTGCTCAAAATAGATACAAATGGGGTCGATTAGAGAAAATGTTATTTGCATGAAAGCTGAGAAACGGATCCTCTAAGTGACTAAGAAGTGCATACATTGAACCATCAGAAAGCAAAGATGTCGCTATCTCATCTACTAATACTTGGAATCATTTGGATTTCAGATAAGAGATGCTCAATTTATAATTATATCAAAATTAGGCAATAATTTTAATGGAGCTGGGCCACCTTCTCTGTATTTTAGATCAATCTGTGGAGCCAAAGTCATAGAATTTGCAATCAGTTTTTGGTCATAATACCAGAATGCAGAATCCCTCGACTCAGCCTTCATATAGGGCCACTTCCATGATCCCATATGAACAAAATAGATAAACCAATATCCAAAAATAACCTATATGTTTAATTATGTGATTAAGAGTCTAAATCCTCATCATTCTTTATCCTCCAACTAATAGGAAAATACCATGGTGCAAAATGGAGAATTAGGAAGAGGTAAGTGAAGTTCCACAGGCATACTCAGCCTGTTTGTATAAGCCCTAAGGAGTTGTTTTGCTTCTAGCCTTAATAAAATGACATGAAACAACAAAGAAGATCAGAGAATGGTTGGTGAGGCAGGAACAAAATAATGGAGGTCATTCTCCTTTTTGAAGCTGGGTAAGTGCTCCTGTGCCGGAGCAGTGCAGCTGGACAAAGAGAGCTTTTAAAACCATTTTGAAAAGAAGATTAAAAGTTCAGAAAATGGGATGGAGGAATTTATCTCTGGTCAGCATTCTATGTAGTGGACAATCCTCAATAGGATATAAAAAGCTACATTCTACACAGCTCAGATGCAGAACTAGCAATTCATCTGAATTGTGCTCTGATTCATGAGCTAGCATCCTATAGACCTAAGTTTGGTCTCGTCCAACTAGATTTTCTGTTAGTTTCCAATCAGATTTTTAAAAATATAAGCGTAATCTTGTCAAGGAAAATTTTAAGTATGTTGTGTCTGTATATAAAATTCTGAGTACAAATCCTCTTCATCACACACTGTCTCCTGCAGTTAAAAAAAGAAAGAGGGATTACCAAGACATCCCATCTGTATTTGGGTCAGAAATATAGCCCAGAGGTATTTGTATGATAGATGCATTAGACTGCATTAGTGACTTAGCTATCATAATAGCACAATATGCCATCATGTGATGGCTGGGCTTCAAACACTTTAATATGGATAAGCCCTAAAAATGTCAATAACAACAACAACAACAAAAGGTTACCATTCTTCTGCTGGTTTTGCTCCTTAAAGTCTCAAATGTAAACTTCGCATAAGTGCCTGTATTGATTCAAAGAAGTAAAACATTATAGAACTCATAGTATGTGCTGTAGTTTTCTTCACTTTTAATAAATGTGACATGGTATATAATAAATGTGTTGATTGAATATTTCTACTGACTCTTCTGATAGTTTAGCTTTTGCCACGTTTTGTTTTGTTTGTGATTGGGGGCGGGGGGGTTAAAGTATTTAATACAATATTTTAGAATGTTAACCAAATGTAGAAATTGCTAATAGGTTTACAAAACATGGCAAAAGCTAATAGGTTTACAAAGGCTGAGTACTTCTTTCTAAGGGTGTTCACCTCTTTTTTTACATGAATGTACAATTTACATTGGCACCGAGGGAAAATAAAATAGAAGACTTTTGTGTACATTGTGTTTAGGTGCAGATGCATTGATCTGTATGCATGTCTTTATAGATGTGAACATTGTACCAAAAGACCACCGGTAAAAATCCTTGTCTTTGGATTTCATAAAACCAAAGCTTTAGAGCCTTTGATCCTCCTTTTTTTCTCTGACCTCTTCTCAGATCTTAAAAATTATAAATTCCAGATTACACCTCTGCAATTTTCTTTCCTGGGATGATGAAAGGATTTGAGAATTATGGCAATAATACAAAGAATCCTTTTGGAGAATAATTAGTGAAGCTAGTTTGAGACTAGCTTCTCATATTCTTTGTCTCCCCTCTCCTCCAGTATTTGTGTGTATGTGTGTATTGTGTGTCCGCTTGCACGCATATAGTGTATAGTGTTCATCAAGTATGGCACAGATGCCTGTCTTGTTTCTGAGCGTGATATTATATATTTGGATACCCTGCTTCTTGGGGTCAGGATGGCTGCTCCTGTTTAATATGTCCTTAGCTCTGTGTGGTGGATTAGCATTTCATCAGGATGGATTAAGATTGAATTGACATTGACGCTCTCTTACCATCCCCCATCTCCTCCCTCCTCCTGCTGAAGCTTTTTGCCAAGAGAGAAGGGTGGTATAATTTTAAAGAAATCCCATGATATGCATAGGAAACATACAAAAAATAAGCATGCGGTAGCTGTGATCTGAAGAGGGATTTATATCTAAGGTGGGCTGGTGCACTAGGTTGCATCAGTCTAAAATGGTGTCACATGGAACAAAAGCTTTAGGGGTTTTATTTAGCCTTTAATCCTCACACACTGTATGACTAGTTGTCCATGTGAGCAAGCCATCCCAGGCAGGAAGGGATAAACCATCTGGATTAAGTACAGCAGCCCTTTTCCGTGTCTGAATTGTGCAGAAAAGACCGTTTCCATTCTACTGTTTTTAGAGCAGACTGAGTTACTGTTTGGTATTTTCTGTGTTTTGCCTGCTAAAGTTTCAAAGAATTAATAATTCAAGCAGCACTTGGAAACACTAAACCACCTGTTGGACTGTCTCCTGGAGCCACAGAAGGATTCGGTACAGTGTGTTTTTGTTTTATACGTGTAACCGAAGATTTGACGAGAGCTTCCTTTTTCGTACTTAAGCTGAATATTGACGGGGTTCCAATGCCAATTCCAAGCAAACATATTGGCCGCTCTCAGAGCTGGGATGCTGCAGGATGGTATGAAGGCAACTGGGAAAATGAAAATCCATTTGACTATCAGAGACCTCCAGGGAGAAGGAATTCTCTAACCTATGGTGGCGAGGGAGCTTGGTACGAGCAGCCAACACATAGACCACATGATATCATCTTACAGGGAGGTGCTGAAATGAAACAAGAGCCATATCCCTACCAGGAGCCAGTTTTTAGCCAAGGTCCGTTGCGGAAAAGTTCTGTTCCTGACTTCGTTTATTATGACAGGCAGCCTGCGATGTCTTCACGAACTTCCTTGCCACCTCAGGATTATTACAGTGATCCATCCTTAGCGGCTAGATCACCTAAAGATCAACGCTACTATAGAGACCACATGATTAACAGACCATTATCGAATTATGGCATGCCTGGTGCCAGGTTGGCTTGGGATCAGATGCAAGTACGGTCACCTGGCCAACACGAAGCAAATCGCTTGTATAGGGATCCTATGACTAAAATGATGCCCGAGGCACAGAGGATACGAAACAGAGATCCTTCGCCAGCAAGGTATGGTGCTGAAACTCCCACACCTAGATATGGCACAGAACCTTCACCCTTTCCTCACCGGCCAGTTTATAATGACACAATGGAGAGATCTATGGATTCAGCTGGCAGCAGGCAAGTTGCTCCAACATGTTTGGTAGTCGACCCAAATTCAGCTCCTGCACCTGATGGAAGTGTTGTTCTCCCTGGCACGCCAGTAAACCGTGGCTATGGACCAGTCAGAGAAAATGTCAGTGCAAAGGTTTCTTACGATGGCTATGAAACAGCCACTACTCCTTCTCATGCTCAGATACCTGCACCTTTTCCAGGACAGGATATTAAAAGAAATGTGGATCCAGAATTTTTAGCACTTATGCGTTCTGAAGGAATATCCGAAAGCACACTCGGTGCCTTGCTGCAGCAAGGATTTGATTCTCCAGGCATGCTAGCTGTGATGGAGGAGAACGATATAAAATCAGTTGCTCCAAATCTTGGGCAGGCAAGGGTGCTCGCTCGAATTGCGCATACGTACAAAACCGAAATCCAGTTGCAGAGGCAGGATAGGAAGAACACCATGATCCGTCCAAGACACAGATCAAACAGCTTTAGTCACCGAGGTGAATTGCTCCAGAGTGAGTATGGGATGCTTCCTGCCACCAGTCCAATGGCTGATGGTGCAGCAATGCATCAGCCACAACTCCATTCTATGCAACCAGTTTCTCCAAGAATTGCAGAATTAAGTCGCCGTCCTGCTAGTGCCCCGACACAACATCTTCTGGAAACTGCAACTTACCCTGCAACCGGCTTGACTCATCAAATTGCCCCTTTTGCTTCCAGTTCTGCCTATGGTGCTTCTAGTTCTGCCTATGGTGCTTCCAGCCCATGTAACCTGCAAGCCCGACAAACAACTGGCTATTCTTCTCCAGCAGGCATACCTATGAACGCACTACAGTCAAACCCACATCCAAGTCCCAAAACAGCATACTCAACCACGTACACCGTACCCATGGAGCTGATGAAGAGGGAAAGGAATCCACCGTTGTCCCCAATGCACAGTCCTCATAACAGTCCTCAACTCCTTCGAAAGCAAGGATCCCAAATGGAACCCAACCTGGCACCAGCAGGACCGGGTTTTCCGATGCAGCATTCTCCGTATCAGAAAGTTACAAGACGCACAGGGCCACCAGTCATTGTCTCCACTATGGCATCACCGGAGCCAAGTAATTATTTTCAAATATATTACTCTGTAGCTTTCCTTAGGACTCTTGTATTTGTGTTGTTTAGAAAAAAAATATTCAGTGTTCTAATAACGTTAGAAACAAACTATTAAACAGATAGTTTCATAAATCAGCGTGAGGCAGTGTTAATCTACTCTCTATATAATAAATCATGCCAGCTCTGGGATTAACGGTGTGATTTTATTGAGGGTTGCTTTTAGAAATTCCTGTTGGCAGCAAATATGCCAAAACCATTGTTCCACAATGAATTGTGGATTTTTAGGCGGGGGTGTGTGTGTGCAAGAAACAGAAGATTAGATACTATACACTTTCTAGGCAATTAATCTGAAGGATTTCATTTTTAGACTTACTTCTCCCAATTGTTATCAGCATACGTTTTTTTTCTTGGGGGAAAAAGTAAGTAATGATACAGTCTTAAATTGGCCAAAGTTTGTAGTGATTGTTTTTCTACTATTTTCTTTCTTTCTTTTTTCTTTCAATAGTTGGTTGTCCCAAATAAACTGAATTTTTGTTGGAAATAGGTGCATAGAAACAGTTAACACAACAATTCTACATTTATTGATAAAGCTAATCATTAACCATCGGAGTGATAAAAATGCTTTTCCCTGACTTCCCTTCTTCCTTGCTGCTTTTGCCCTGAATACATGAGTTGATAAGTTTTTGAAGTTGACAATATTAACCAAAGACCAAGTTCAAAAACTCATTTCGAATAATGGATATGGTCAAGAACAACATCACTTAAATAGTTACAGTTTCCTTTATTAATAACTATATGAGCTGACATAACTCTTCTAGGCATAAGCTGGCAAATATTCCTCATGCTGCAGTGAATGTTATGTGCACTGTGTTGTGTAATAGTATATTTTATATTTGCCTACTTGGGAGAAAATCAATTGAATTGCATGGAACTTCCTGCTGAGCAAATAATTCTGTGCATGAGTTGCATGTCTCATTGAAAAACATAGACCAAGAAAACCAACTGAAACCTTTACCAAAGCTATCCATTTTATTTCAGAGTGAGTTCTATTTAAATATGCCCTTAACTTTCTTCTACTACTGTTTAATACATTTTGAATTATTCCTTGGTCTATGTGGCATCTTAGAGTATCTACTTTAAAGTCATTATAAGTTTATATTGATGTTGTTTTACTCATCGCTTTGATTTGGTTTGTTTATTTCTCTGTCATATCATGGCATTGAATGTTTGCCATTTTTTGTTGGATACCGCCGTGAGTCCCTTCGGGAAGATAGGGCAGATTAATAATAATAATAATAATAATAATAATAATAATAATAATAATAATAATATAGATAGGAAGAATCTCAATACGCAACAGTTGTATTAAATTATATTTATATTAAATGAGGAGGCGATTGATTTAAACTTTCAAAATTCAAATTTTGTGCCTTTTTGTTTTCAGCACTGATGGCTTTTTAGTTAGGTTTTTGGATCTCTGAAATAAGCACATATATATATTCATAAATTGTATCACTCGGGTGTTTCCATTAGCTCCAGTCAGGATGGTGAATGGCCGTGTATAAAGCAACGAATAGGGCAGAACATCTACTGGACATAAGACTGGAAAATACTGTCTTGTTTAGACCAGAACACTGTGTGTATAATATATATTAGAAACTAGATGAGATGGTATAAATTTTAAAAAAACTTTTTCGGAAAAAAAATGATGCTTAAATTGAGAGATATAATGCTGTACTATCAAATTTTAAATCCTTATTATGCCAAAATAGAAACTTCCTGATTCTTTTTAAAATCATGTTGGAAGAAACAGGGCTCATGGTTATAGTGGTTGTAGCTGGCACTAACTGGATAGTTTTTTTAAAACATGCTCAGTATCTTTTTTGATACAAATCAAGAAATTCTTAGTTTTGAGCAACAAAATGCTTATTGAAAAAACAATATCTAGTGGCAGCCAATAACCCAACGCTTCTTTGATTTGTTGTTTAGTGAGAATATATCCCTAACTCAATGGCAGGAATAGAGTTAGAACAAGAAATAAACAGCCAATAAATACAGTTATACAATAACCAAAGCTTTTAAATGTTTGTATTTAAGTTTGGGCATTGAATGTTTGCCTTTTTTGTGTGTAAACCGCTCTGAATGTCCTTGGGGAGAGAGGGCAGTCTATAAAGAATAATAATAATTATTATTATTATCATCATCATCATCATCATTAACATCTTCTAATAATTGTGAACACTGAAAATTTCATATATTCCCAGGTCAGAGAAAAATATTGGCTCTTAAAATGCTGGAAATTGTTTGAATGACTTGGGGTGGGGGTGGTGGTCCTGATCACAAATGCCTCGGAATAGAGATTATCTGTGTATTGTTTCCTTGATACTTGAAAATATCTATATTTACTTTTTACTCTTTCATCATTCTCCTTTAATTGAATATTTGGGAGAGAAGGTGGTTTCCTTTTTTGCACTGGTAGTCTAACGTAAAACAATACCAACTGCAATGTTGAGATGCAGAGCAGCTCCCTTCTTGAGTCAAACGTTCTTTCTCTACAACCAATTCATTTGCATGAGGATGACATTTGTTGCTCCAGTAATTTCATCTGATAATGGCCAGCTTGCAAAGCGGATCTGAAAACATATTCCTTAATTATGTGTTGCTAAGCAACGAGAGGGTTTGGTCATAATCACAGGAAGATTATCTTTCTATTGAAGTCACTGAAAGGGTTTGGCTGAAGTAGGACCTTCAGCTAAAATTTGTCTGTATTCTTGTCTCTCTTCCCCCACCCCACTCCCCCACCCCGGTTTTTATCCCCGTCCAAAACAACAGAGGAAAGTATTTTTCCCATTGTCTTAAAATGCATATTTAACTAGGAGTCAAGGTAGGATCCAAATGTGAGCGAAATGAGAGTTCCAATATAACTGAATTAGGTAAAAATGTATGTCTTTATACAAAACCATTCATAGCCACCATACTTGAACAATAAATTGATGTCCATGCATTATAACCTCATGTTTAAAAATGGAAAACGAGATACATTTGTTGTGCCAAAGTGGCCAAAGTAGACTATCCATACTTTTTATTTTCTAGTAGCAGGGAGACATGCACAGCACTTGAATATCTTTTGGTATAACTTTAAAAGTGGGGAAAGAAGTTAATTGAAAAACACTAATCCTAAACACATTCCCTATACTCACTAAATTCACAAGAGACTCCTTCTGTATCAATATGGGTAAGATTGCATTGTTAATCCATTTTGATACGTGCTTGTAGTTGCTCATTAAATTTCAGTCATTTTGACTGACTGCATTGTTCGCACATAAAGCATTATTTTTATCGTGTGCAAATTTATGATATATACACTCCAGCATATATTTTATGGTGGGTACAATTTTAATGTTGATTTTAAAGAGCATTTTTATGGGTAGTCTAGATTTTGTTTAAACTGCAAATCCAACTTAGCAGAGAGTAAAGCTGACTGTTAATAATGTCAGTGACTTTGATGAGAGTAGATCACATTGTACTGGTTGGGTCCAAAACTTATTGTAATTTTATATTGCTAATGTATTCATATGCTTTTGTGTACTTATGATATTGTTGTTTGTTGCTTGTGTTTTTGGTTTTATTTTGCTGTAATTTGTTGCTTGGGCTTGGCCTCATGTAAGCCACCCCGAGTCCCGGTTGGGGGAGATAGTGGCAGAGTATAAATAAAGTAAAAAAGAAAGAAATAACTTCTACCCATATGCAGTAGTGTTTGAAAGTCATCACAGGATCCCACTAGAGAGAGTGATGGAGAAGTGGTATGTGTGTTTCCTTCCACAGACCCACCAATGCAACTTTTTGCATTGTCCAGGAGCAATTGTTTTCTTTCTAGAGCAGATTTGTTTTTGAAGGTATGGAGGTGACAGGAAAGTAGCAAATAAATAAAAATACATCCCCTTCCCAAATCTAGTGAGTAGTTTTTACATTTAGGATGTTTGCAACTTACAGATGTTTTTGATGGCAATGACAGCCAAGCATTAATGGTATTTATTTAAGGGAAGAAAAGTTGTAACAGTAGTATTTGCAATACACTTTGATGTGAACAACCTATACACACACACACATGTACACACACACATGCATGAAGAAAAAACAAGGAATTTGTACTAAGGACCTCAGCAGATGGGGCTTTTTCCCTGTCCTAGGACACAGCTGAGATGCAACCAGAATGGAGCCTACCAGAGCCCATCACATGACATGGAGCTACTTCCGGTGGGATTCTGTCCTGGCTCCGTTCTAGCTGTGTCTTGGTAGCATGTTGAGAGGCTACCTTGGGAATATGGGTAACTACCCGTGTAGTCATTGGCTAAGCCGGGGACAGCGCAGGGTGAAGTCAAAGGTAGATGGAAAGTGCTGTAGGATGATAAGGGGGTGATTCAAGGCGCTGGTCAAATGGTTTCCCCTACTGCCCCATGTATTCATCCCACTGCCCCATGGAGTTCCCCACTGTCCTAAATTATAACATAGGGAGTCAATAAATTGAAAGGAGGTAAGGAAGAAACCAAGGTAATGAAGGTTGAATGTGAGCAATACTACATATTTCACAATATGAATTGAACCTCCTTAAATTAAGTCCCAGAGAGGAGCCGAGTCCACATTTTTCATATGTTCATGTTTTTCATTTCATTGTTTGGACCATTTTTTCACCTTATAGATACATGGTTGGAACCAAACTGAAAATATTCATAATAAAAGTTTTGTAAATGGATGTAGAGAACATACTGAAATTTTCTCACTAAAATACCCATTGAGTTAATTTTTAAAGCAAAAAAATGTTTAAAAAAATACACTAAAATTACACTAAATTGTTCTGAAATGGGAGTAGAATTTTTTCAAAACACATACCACTCTGCAAGGAGAATTTTCTTTTTATTCTTCATTCCTATGTGAAAGAACAGAATAGGGGAAGATTGGCATCCCTACTGTTGAGTCGTTTTAATTGTCTGGCTTCAAATATGGT